CCGAGGGGGGTGCTGCCACCCTGGGACCCTTCCACCCTGGGGTGTCCCCGCCCTGGGGTCGTCCCAAGCAGGGTAGGGGGACCCCCCCATCCCTCGGAATGCTGTGTCGCTGGGGTGCCCTGCACCGGGGATGCTCCTGGGTGGCGGAGGGGGAGGAGCAGGACCCCTGCACGGGGGGTGCTCCAAATTGCGTGGGTGTAGCAGGACCCTTGCACCGGGGCTGGGGTCCAGCTGGAACAGGGCTGGCTCGGGGGGCTTGCTCTGGTTGAACCCCCCCAAGCCCACTAGGAGAAGGGATGTGAGGAGTGAAGGCAGGATCCATCCTGGCTGTTGCCTTCACCCCGTCAAGTTTCAGCTCCTGCTGGGGTAATGCGTAAAGGTGGTGGTTTTGGGGTGTTTTCTTCTGGCAGCAGCTCGGCTCTGGGGGTAGCTGGGCTGGCTGGAGGGGACTTTCGCTGTGGTACGTACTGCCTGGGGGGACTGCCTCCTGGCAACCCCCCTCCTCAGCATCCCAAACACCCCGAGTGCTGGGCCTGGAGCCAGGGTGCCCTTTTCCAGGAGGAAATCCTGCACTTTGGAAATTGGTCCCGAAGAGGTAGAGAAACACATCGATTTGAAAGTGTCCTGTCTAAAAATTACTGGCAGGAAAGGCAGCTGCCTGCAAATGTTTTGGTTTTGATGATTTTTTTTAAATGCTGTGAAATAATAGTCATTTCTAAATGAACACGCATTCTGACCTGAAAAATCAACTGTTGCCACCCAACACTGCTGAAATAGGAGTGTTTCAACCCGGTCACGAGGTTGTGCCCATATGGAAACACTGCCAGTTTTTGTCAACAAGTTTCTATTCTGACATTTTCCAAATATCCCCTGGGAGAAGTCCAAGGAGCCCGCGGCTCAGGGGCTGCCAGCACGCCGCCTGTCTGGCCAACGAGGGAGCGGAGGTGCGTGGTTGCCCCATCACACGTGACTGGAAGATGTTTTCTCTGCCCTGGTAGCCCTGGGCCGGGGCAAATTGTGATGGACCACTTGGATAGGAGGGTGGGGGGCTGGCCCATGGCTGCCCCGAGTCTCCCAGGGACCGGTGGGACCAGTTGCCTGTGTCCTTTTGGGTAGGTGCTGCTTAACCTGGGTGAAGTTTCATGAGTCACAGCAGCTTCCTGGCATCAGCTCCCATCGCCCAGAAACCACTGAGAGCGTCTCTGTTCTTATCTCCCCCAGCACTTCATACATGGGGCAAGTCTCCTTCAGCCTGAGAGTACTTATTTGGGCTGAGTAGATCGTTTGTGGGATAAAAAGCTCCCTCAGTGCAAGGTGCTGGTCTCCACCCCTCCAGGGTTAATTAAAAATCCTGGTCCAGACTTTCGAGACTGAAGGCGTACAGGGGCAACCACAAAAGCTTCTGCGTATTTTCAGGCTGAATTTGCATCGCTGGGGCCGTGGCTGCAAACAGAAGCAACTGTGTGGGCAGCTGACGAGGAGCCTGTCCAGCTGCCATCGCGTCTTTCTGCTGCACGAAGCTCCAGCAGTTCGCACATGCGCTTTGTGATAATTTCTGGTTTTACCGGGGGGGAGCACTGGGATGTTCCTGTGCCGCAAAGCGGGGCTCTGGGTGGGGTTTCTCCTGCTAATGGTGGAGAAAAACCAGAGGATTTGGTCACAGCCGGCTGAGGCACGAAGCCAGCAAGGCAGAGCTGGGGCTCGGGGATGGGGGGTGCAGCGAAACTGTCTCCAGCGCCCCGTTCCTCAGCCCTGCACCCCTACGCTGCCGCTACGGGCTCTGGCATGTCATGCTCGCCATGGCAGCTACAACCCTGCACTTCTATAAATCACTAACTTTTGGAGAAGGGGCCGCACCGGATCACGTTACATCCTTCCTTCAGCCCACGGGCGCATCTGCGAGGCTGTCTGCCAGAGGCCCTGCCTGTGCTGCCCCAAAGGTCTCTTATTTTAGCTCGATTTTAGCAATTTTTTGGTTTCTCCTATCCTTCCTGTGCAAGCTGCGTGGGATGTGTCCCAGCTGGAGAGATCTCCCGTCTCAGCCCTGCTTCATCTTCCTCTGCCCCAATGCGCTCATCACCTGCTCCCTTTGCAGCGCAGCGCTTCAACAGCCAGAAACTTTTCTGCCTAGCCGCTTTCGAGCAAAGCAGGGGCTTTCCATGGTCTTGTAGGGGTGGGATTCCTGGCTGCAACAACTCATCCCCTTCTCCCTCACCAGAGGAGCCTGGGGATCTGGGGAGCACGTGGGGCTGGGGCTGCTGGAGGCTGCTCGCAGAGGGCTGGAGATGATGGGGACTGTGGCAGCAAGGGGATTTCTGCCCGTGCAAAGACAGGAAGGCAGAGGCGGTGTGTGACAGTCCCACCTGGGGCAGCTTCGGCTTGTTTTGAAGTTTACCCCAATGTCTTTTGCGGTGTTATCACGATGTCTCCCCAGGAACGACAGCGGCTGGAGACATCTCAAGGGTTTTGCCTGGAAAAGCGAGCCTAGGAGGGTTTATCTCATGCTCAGCTGAATTGCCGTAAATGGGATAACAGCTGGCTGAACGTCGAGTTAATTTGTACCAATGGTCATTTAAAGTGTTTGCCAAAGCTTATGGATAAGAGAAGTATTTATGCAAGCTGTTAAAGTGTCTCGGCTCTCTCCAGTTACAGCTGGTAAGGTCTGGGCAGGACGGGGTGGGTACGAGGCGGTGTTGGTGCCAGCTTGTGGGATTTCCATCTGGAACCCGGCCCAGCTCAGCCTGTGTGCAAGGTGGTCCCATGAGCACAGATGCGGTCGTTCATTTTTTTGTTCCTTTTTTTTTTTTTTTTTTTTTTTCAGAAACCCGATCTGGAGAAAAAAAAAAAAAGGAGGGGGGAAGAAGATTTTGCTGGAAGGTTTTTGGCCCGTGGTGATGCCCGGCAGGTCCTGGCAGAGCTGGTGGCACCGGGGGGGGGGGGGGGGGGGGGCGGGGTTCAGCCCCGCGCATCATTTGTGATCCGTTTGCTTTTGTAGATGAGGCATAGCGAAGTCATTAACATTGTCACCCATCTGCGACGGCTGCTTTCCTTCAATGCAAATCGAAGATGTTTAGCCAGATCTGCTGAGACCTCGTGACTTGGGCTTTGCATGGGTGAGATAGATAGCTCAGAAAACTGTTTGAACTGCAGAGGATCTTGCATGTGGTAGAGCGCAAAATACCTTTGCAGACTCCTTTGGTGGGGATCTAGGTCACACATGCTTCTGCCTTGAGGTAGAGGAGTGATTTCAAGTCATTCCTGCCCATGCCCGTGTTTTTCCACGCAGAAAGATGTGGCTTAACCTGTCCTTACAGTCCTGTATTCTCTTTTTTTTCCCCATGGAAAAATGGAGGGAGGAAAGATGGGAATGGGGGAGTGAAACCTCCATCCATGCTGCTTGTGAGAAGCAGGAAAGCACCTGGTGCCGGAAGCTCGAGGCGAGGAGCTCTGCTCCCCTCCTGGCCCCAAACACAATGCTCCGGCCATGCCTATGCCTCTCCCCACGCATCCCTGTCCCCATCCCTGTCCCCTGGCTGCTCCAGGGCCTCGAAGTGAAAATTAATCCCGGGGGATAACTTTCCGTCCCACTCCTGGGTGGGAGGAACAGGGCTATTTATTCCTCGCCCTTAAGCCTCCACAGCGGATCAGCGACGCAGTTGTCGCCGCCGGCGCGGGGTGGGCAGCAGCATCCGTCACGGCCCCTGCCTGCTCCTGCGCCCTGCCTGCACGGTCCCGGACGGACTCGCTGGGAAGGGTCCCACGCGTGGGTCCTAACCGTGCTGCAGTGGGGGAGAAGGTCTGAGACCTGCCACGCTCGTGTCCTGTGTGCTCAGTTGGCTCAGCCCCTTCCAGCTTTCCACAGGGAAAAAACATCTATTCACCAAAACATATGGGAAAACTCATGCTCCTGTGCCATCCGTGATGGTGGGGTACCATGGGGCCACTCCAGTGGGACGGGGGGGACTCGGGGCAACTTTGGCTGGGAAATGCGTACCCAAAGGGGGAACGGTGGAAGAGGGGGGTGTTAAATCTGAAATGGTGGATAGGTGGGTGGTGGGGTGCTGCGGCAAACAGCCCAGTCTGGGACTGCCCGACACCCCTCTACCCACGGCAGCAAACA